CCGCCCCCCCCCGCCGAGTGCCACGCGCCCGGCGCTCCCCCCACCAAGCGCGCTCCCCCTGCAAGCGCCCGTGCGCCATGTGCCTGGGGCCAGGCCAGCCCCGAGCACCTGGCGGGCGCATTGAAATGCCTACGGTCCCCAATCTCATCGGGTTCCCCGCTGCACCTCTGATTTTGAAAGGTAGCAAGAGCCACCTGAAGCTCTTGCTACAATTCAAAGGCAGAGGCATAGCACCGCTGCGCTTGTGCCTCCCTGTCTGACCCCTGACCTGGAGAGAGGGTGCTAGGGGAAACCAGCTTTTAAGCCGGCTCCTGCTTCTCCCCCTTGCTGCCTCCGATATAGAGGCAGCAATGGGGGGGGGGGGAATGTAAGTAGTCTACTCAACTTCCTGATAAAACAGTCAACTATTCGACTTCTATTTTATATTCCTACACTAGCCCAGCAAAGTATTACCAGGTGGAGAGATGATCAAAAGGCATGACATAAAACTAAGACAATAGTTACTGAAAAAGTATAGCATTTCAAGACTTGTAATAAGGGCAATGGGTACAGCCTTCTGCAGATACAAAATCTGTATCCACAACTACAAAACTGATCCATGGTTACCTGCATCCACAAATGCAGACACCCATGGATATAAAGCAGGTATCTGCAAATCTGCAGGGTTTTAGTAATTGGGAGTGAGGGGGGGAGGCAAGACACACAGAGGCACTAAATATTCAGGTGGTCATAATTCAGCAGAGAAAGGGCAGTGGTTTGAGCCTGCATCAAGCTTCCTCAATCACTGAAGAAAAGTTGCAGGCCAGGTGAATATGCTACTTCACTGCGATATCCTCCAGCACAGCGAAAGAGTGAAATCTCCCTTGGTTGACCTAACAGCCCACCTCATCTGCTGACCCATATTAGCCTTTAAAGCTAATGTCACCTGGTATAAAAAAATCCCAGTAGAGCTAAAAATCATTAATTTGTCCTTTATTTACACTAATATTTTAACAGCTAAGCAACATATATATTTACAAGATACAGCTTTAGAAAAGAACGGCATGCTTCATCACTGAGATACAGGTGTAGGGGTAGAAGAGACCACTTGAACTATCACACCTAACTCTATTATAATTAATGCATTAGCTAATTAATCCAGCATTCCCCCTCCCCCCATCTTCATCTGCCTGTTGCAGACCTGGGACTTAACTCAGGTTTCTGAATCACAGCTTAATCATAAGACCATCTTTTGTTCATTCCCAGCCCTGTGCCTTCTTTCATTCAATTCCCTACGCCCAGCACAGTCTTGTAATTAATATTTGCTAAGCCCCCTTTCCCTTTGACTCCTACAAACCACCCCTGGAGGGTCATGTGCTCTGTGCTCCTTTCCACCTCAGGACCACTTGCTATTCTGCAGTCAGACTGTAAATTCTTCCAGATACAGAATCAATACCGTATATTCCGGCGTACAAGACGACCTCTGATGTTAAAAACCATCCCCCAAAAATCGGGGGTCGTCTTGGACGCCGGGTATACATCCCAGGCATGCCTGGGCTGCCCCCCCGCCGGAGCTCCTCCGCGGCTTTGCAAAGCTGCTGCGGCTTTGCTCCTGGTGCCTCTGGTCTGCTGGGGACTGTCTCCAGCAGACCAGGGACACCGGGAGCAAAGGAGGCGGAGGGGCGCTGGGGTATAAGATGAAACCCTATCTTTTAATTAAAAAGATAGGGGGTCGTCTTATACGCCCAGTCACCCTATACGCCGGAAAATACGGTAAGTAACCTGGCAATTTCCCTGTTAGAGCCATTTGATTATAGCAACAGACAAAAAAATGTTACAGCAAAACTGGAAATTTGCAGATGCACACTAACAAGAACGTTACAAGCTTTGTTTAGTTACTTACACAACCCTCACTAGTGGGAAATTGTGCTTATGTTGTGATTTCATTGAACTGACATGATCCCAGACATCAGACCAAAGTCAATCTTTCCATATAAAACTCCCCATCTTAACTCTCCACATAGAACTGAAAATGTTTTTGAAAGGAAAAAGGAAGAAATCTCACCCTCCTAAAAGGATTAAAGCTCTCACTAAGGTCAATGGCCTGCTGTTTTCATAGAATACTAGAACTGAAAAGGACCCGAAGATGTCGTCAAGTCCAGTCCCCTGCACTCACAGCAGGACCGAGCACTATCTAGATCAGGGCTACTCAACACACGGCCTGTTTGTTTGCGGCCTGTCGTGCAGTTTGGGTTTACACGAGGCTCAACACACGGCCTGCGGGTGGGATCCTTTGAAAATGGCCTCCACTGGGAACACGCTCCACAATGGCCAGGCGTCTCCCAGGCAGGGTGAGCACTGAAAGATGCAAGCGGACGGATGGGCTGACTGGAACAGACGGGTACAGGGTGTCGGCATTTCTAGCCCCCAGGGAGGAAGTGCCAGGAGCACTGGGGCATTGTGTGAAAGAAGCTTTTTGCATATATTTGCATATATATTTGCATGTACATGCAACCACACTCAAGTAGCGGCCCTCAGCATGTGCTTTGAGTATCACTGCGGCCCCTGGGGCTTCCAAAGTTGAGTAGCCCTGATCTCTAGATCATCCCTGAGAGACGTTTATCTAACCTGCTCTTAAATATCTCCAGGGATGGAGATTCCACAACGTCTCTAGGCAATTTATTCCAGTGCTTAGCCACCCTGACAGTTAGGAAGTTTTTCCTAATGACCACCTTTGCTGCAATGTAAGCCTGTTGCTTCTAGTCCTATCAGCAGAAGTTAATAATAATAATTTATCTCCCTCCTCCTCGTAACACCCTTGTAGGTATTTGAAAGCTGCTATCATGTCCCCTCTCGGTCTTCTCTTTTCCAAACTAAACAAAACCAATTATTTTGCGTTGTCTAGGTGGCTCTCCATCTCTAACATGGAGATGATATATCACAGGCAAAACCTGATGTCTTCAACTTTAAAATCATATGCAATAAGGGATGTAATAGTGTAATTAATTATCCTATTAACTGATAAGCAAAAGCTTATAGGTTAATGCTATAGACTACATGCATTTCCTCCCTCCCCCCCA